ATATTTATATATATATATAATGTATATATATATATATATATATATATATATAATAATGTATGTATATATATATGTATATATATTTATACATAATAATATATAATATATATAAGTATATATATACATGTAATATATATATCAGAACACGCACCCATGAACTATACGAACAAACACATCACGAGAGCCTCGACTAATTCTAAACTTATCACTAAATATATATCTGCCACGAGTAGTCACTACAGACAGTACAAATTACTAATATACCATATATAAACATCTACTATATATAGAGAGATAGAGCATATATATAATTCAAAATACCTATATATATAGATATATATATATACATGTTACTATATAATGTATAAATATATATATAATATTTATATTTAACGTGAGAGTCACCGTATATACTCACCAGTGAGTGAGAGTGTCAATTCTACCAAATAATGCTACTAAACATAATGTTTAGTTATAGTCTCACACTCCTATGTACAATCTGTATAACTAAATTCCGACTCGAGCATATAGCTCGATAATGACTATATATATAACCATATAAGCCCCACATATATGTGAGTGAGAGTCGAATAGATACCAGTCTCATCCAATCTCTACTATATTATATATAATCATGTATAATACTATATCAATCATTACTACCGTTCTATCCACAAAGCACATCATCTACAAGATGGCTCCGCGTCTCATAACTACATAGAGCCCGACCTCATAAGACACACTAGCATATCGATCATATCGAACATGATAATCCTCACATACACAAACATACAATCGCAGCGACAGCTAAACTTCAGAGCGCCTCACACCGGCGACACTTATCACCACGATCACAGATCAACTGAACGATCATACATATATATATATATTATATATATATAATATATATGTAATATATATATAATATATAATGTATATATATATACATATATATACATATATATATACAATATATATACACTATATATATATATATCTATAATATAATATATATATATATATAATATATATATATATAATGATATATATATGCATGTATATACATATATATCACATATATACACAAACATCAGACCATTCACTCTGTCTCAACGGATAATAACATAACCCATACCCTACTGGTTATTACATACCATACAATATTATACATATATATATACATATATATACTTATTATATATTTATATATATATATATATTAACTATATAATATATATACAATATATATGTACTATATACTATAACATAATGATTACTAAGAATGGCATCATCATATACCATTCACTAGATACACACTATATATAACATTATACATATATATATTTATACCATATACATATATATTACTGTATATATATATATACATTATATATATTATATACATGTATATATATATATTACAATATATATATATATATAAAATGTATATATTATATATGTATAACCTGTATGTGTATGTGTATTGTTTATTGTGTATGTGTATTATAGTATATAATATAATATATTTATATATGATATAATATATTCAGTAACCATACTATATATAATAATATATATATAATTACTATATATACACTGTAAATAGTCATGATGTTATATAAATAAGTTATATTATATATATATAACTATATTATTTATATACTATATATACACCATACATATTATACTATATAATATATATATATAACCTGTGACGACTAATGAGAGACACCGCGAGCGTCACCTATCACTTCCTACGCATGAGATAGTGACTACCGCGTAACCGCATGAACGGAATCACATATGCACAGCAGAGATCCGAGAGAGATCCTTATCTAACTGGTATATATATATATATATATAATATATAATAGACCATCAGCATCTCAATATAGCTACATATATAATATATTGTATATAAATTATGTAACCATTACGTCCCATTATATACATAGATCTACACACTACTACATACCACCTTCAAAATCGTAAACTACGCTCCGCCAGACCGCGAGGTCAGGAGATGCGTGACAGGCCGCTGAATCTATAAAATATATATTATATCATATATATATAATAAATATATATATATATATATATGTATATATTATAAGTATATATATATATAATATGTATAAATATATATATAATATATATGTTTATATGTATATAGATGTGTATATAATAGTATCTATATATATGAGCATAGTATAATACATTAATAATATATACATATATATAATATAATATACATCTATATATATATATATATAATATCATATATATATATATATAATAATTATATATATATATATATATATATAATATATATGTATATATGCTATATATATATATTTATATGTATATATATGTATATAATATTATATATATAAATATATATATATATAAATATATATATATTATTATATAATATTATATATATATATGTATATATATACATATATATTATATATATACAATAATATATATATATATATATTACATTATATATAATAATATATATATATAATATATATATATATATATATATATATATATAAATACTATATATATATATATATGTATACATATATCACACTAAAAATGCAATTTAGAGGCGCCGCCCGAAAAGGTGCCGCATGTACGTACACCCGCTATATTTAAAGGCAGTGTGAGATATCAAACCGTGCCCAATCAGCTCTACTCTATCATAGCCTTCAATAGCACCCTCGATCATCTCCCTAACCCATTCTTTGTTTTTAGGGGTGTTTAAGAGGTCTATATGTGGTTTATAAGGGGTATACTAGCACTCAAACCATGTCAATTCTCATTTACTCTGTGATAGCTTTCCAAAGAAAGCTATCACATCCTTTTATCCAAACAGACACAAGCATGCATCCAGACATATCCATGCATTCACATAGACATACCCATGCATCCACACAGACACACCCATGCATCCACACACACCCATGCATTCACATAGACATACCCATGCATCCACACACACACCCATGCATCCAGACATATCCATGCATCCGCACAGACACACCCATGAATCCAGACATATCCATGCATCCACGCATACACACCCATACATCCAGACACATCCATGCATCCAGTCACATCCATGTATCCACACAGACACATCCATGCATCCACACAGACACAGCCATGCATCCAGTCACATCCATGTATCCACACAGACACATCCATGCATCCACACAGACACTCTTGCATACACACAGTCATGCCTTCAGACACATCCATGCATCCAGACACATCCATGCATTGAAACACATCCATGCATCCAGACAGACACACCCATGCATTCAGACACATTCATGTATCCAGATACATCCATGCATCCAAATAGACACACCCATGCATTCAGACACAACCATTCATCCAAACAGACACACCCATGCATTCAGACACATCCATGCATCCACACACATCCATGCCTCCCTACACACCCATGCATCCACACAGTCATGCCTTCAGACACATCTATGCCTCCATATCCATCTATGCATCCACACAGACACCCATGTATTCAGACACCTCCATACACATCCATGCATCTACACAGACACATCCATAGATCTAGACACATCCATGCATCCACACAAACACCCATGCATTCAGACACATCCATGCATCCACACAAACACCCATGCATTCAGACACATTCATGCATCCACACAGTCATGCCTTTATGCATCCATACATCCATACATATACATCTATGCATCCACACAGACACCCATGCATTCAGACACCTCGATACACATCCATGCATCCACACAGACACATCTATGCATTCAGACACATCCATGCATCCACACAAACACCCATGCATTCAGACACATCCATGCATCCACACAAACACCCATGCATCATCCATGCATCCACACAGTCCATGCATTCAGACACATTCATGCATCCACACAGTCATGCCTTCAGACACATTTATGCATCCATGCACATCCATCACTCCATCATCTATGCATCCACACAGACACTGCATTCAGACACCTCCATACACATCCATGCATCCACACAGACACATGTATGCATTCAGACACATCCATGCATCCACACAAACACCCATGCATTCAGACACATCCATGCATCCACACAAACACCCATGCATTCAGACACATCCATGCATCCACACAAACACCCATGCATTCAGACACATTCATGCATCCACACAGTCATGCCTTCAGACACATTTATGCATCCATGCACATCCATACCTCCATATACATCTATGCATCCACACAGACACCCATGCATTCAGACACCTCCATACACATCCATGCATCCACACAGACACATCTATGCATTCAGACACATCCATGCATCCACACAAACACCCATGCATTCAGACACATCCATGCATCCACACAAACACCCATGCATTCAGACACATCCATGCATCCACACAAACACCCATGCATTCAGACACATTCATGCATCCACACATTCATGCCTTCAGACACATTCAAGCATCCACACAGACACCCATGCATTCAGACACCTCCATACACATCTATGCATTCAGACACATCCATGCATCCATACAGGGACAGACTTGTCCTTGCATCCAAAAACACCCATGCATCCGCATACATCTTTGTATTTGCAAAGATACACCTATATGACCACAGGGATGCAAGTGAACACACACCTAGAGAGAGAGAGTCACCATGCACACATACATGTCCATGTACATACATATGCACACACACCCAGAGAGAGACAGCACACATATGCCCAAAGGGTTATCCCCTGAAATCATTGTTTTGTGAATTCCCCAAAATATAATTTTGAATGAAGGAAAGAGAAGAGTGTAAATGTAATTTCAAATGTGGAATCCTCTTCTGTTTAGTATTTTTTATTATTGTAAACTGGTTTCTTACATAAAAAAAACAAGCAGTCATGTTTTTTGACATGAGACCAGATGAATTTTGATACATTTAAATTTTTTTCAGATGAACCAGTAAGCATGTCGTCAGAGTTGGGTGTGGAGAGACCGACGACTTTGGCCCTGCCAGAGTCTCGTATGGAGAGGCGTGTCCATTTCAGTGATGTTGCAGGAGCACAGATTCTGAGTGATGAACCAACTGAAGAGAATACCACTCCAAGCCCAAAGTACGTGTGATGTGCTAAAAGGCACTCAGAAAAGAAAAAAAAAAAAAAAGTGGTATTTTCTTAGTTTTATGGGTCCTTAGTGCATATATGGTTCAGCTATTTTAGATGTAAATTGAGGTAGTATATGGCAGAAATTAGGAGAATGTTGGATGATGAACATTGTTTTCCTCTGTATATCAGTTCATGTAGTCCAAATTACCAATCATTATTTTAGCCATATACTGCATCTGCAATATTAGACATTGCATGCACTGTACTGATTGGACTTAATTAAGCAATACGTATACCAGTGACAAAATGTATGGCACATTAGCTTAAACATCAAAGTTAAAAAAAAATTCTTGTATATTTTTTAACAATTAATGTTATTATACTTACCAGCATGGATGACACTCACACCTCTGTGATGGAAACATTCCTTCTTTTTAAGCACTTTATTTTTCATTTGAACTGAAAGTTATTCTTTGGAAGTTATGCAC